CCTTCTCAGAGGGCTGAATTGAACTCTTGCAGCTATGGTGAACACAAAGGCGAATTCAGGTTCTCAAAGGCCCATCCACTCTGAATAAACACTAGGCAGAAGCAAGATCATTTTGGGTGGTGCATAAGCACAGGGCCCGCAGCACGTTGCCTCTCTGGAAGACTGATGGGATCTGCATTAAAAGCAACAGTATTGGGGCTGACGACAGCGGACGGCGGGCGCTTGAGCGCCCCATTGCTCAGCTGGCGCAGGAATGTGGGGACTAACTCCCTATTGCCCTCTTTCATCCGACCCCAGCTTTTCAAGAGCAGTTTCGTGTCTCTATGAGTGTGTGCTTGCTAATTGCACCCTCGGCTTTAATGAGATTCTTTTTACTCTCCCAAGCTCGCTTGCAGGTTGTAGCGTTATCTGGGGACCCACGTTTTCCACTCTGGCTACACGTCCCTTGAACAATTGCCTCTCCAGAGCCTGAAAGGAAAGCAAGCGCCCCGATTCTGCTGAATGCACGTCTCAGTTCATCCAGGGCTGGCGGGCTTTTGATGCTCACAATGCAAGTTACGCCCAGAGAGTGTCTCTTTGGTCAGATCGACAACGCTTGGCTTCACGTTTGCAAGTTAAACGGGCAGAAACCGGGCTGAAACTCCCACGCCAGACGCCGGGGACATTTCCCTCCGCCCTGCCATGGGCAGAGCTAGGGAATGGGTCTGGGTAGGGGAGGAAGAAAGGGAGGGGTGGTCAGAGGAGGGGAAGAGGAGAAAGGAGTCCTGATTCTTAGTGGCTGTAAGGAGGGGGGTATTTTCGCTGGCATTTTTTTCTCATTTTTAATTTTTTTTTCCATTTTGCTTTGTTGGCAGCTTTACCCAAACAAAAAAATAAAATGAGAGCATTTTTTCCTTGTCTTTACCTAGGTAGCTGTTTTCCTGTAGTCCTTGAAAATGTGACTCCTTCATAAAATCAAAATTTATGATTATTCAAATGTTGGGGACTGTGAAAAGAGAGGAAGAAAGAGAGAAAATTAATATTGCAGCTGTTCTTCTGATTAATGAGAGATAATTGCTCATGAAAAGTCACCCCTGTGGCATTTTGTTGTCTCCTGGATCTTTGTTCTTTTCCACTATTATTGAGGACTTTCTTGAAGACTAAGCGGTTCTTTTCAAATTTGGGGTATTCAGAAAGGGTTGCCTGGTTACAGAGAATGGGGAAATCTCGGGCTATATCGGGTAAGATGTGCCACAGACAGCAATATCACAATGCCACACGGAGAAAAGGATGGATACAAGTTAACGATGCGCTTTCAATAAAACATTCATAGACTTGTTCACGCTTTGATAATGACCTCATTAAAGGGAGCTGGGGGCAAGTAAGTCCTGTCTCCTGTTTGTGTTCGGCTAACAAAACCCAGCTTTGAGATCATTCATCGCTTTGGAAACTAATATGAAATCAATGTAAGAGGAGCAAATAAATCCGAGGCAGCCCCGCCAACTCCTGGGCTGTCCTGCCCTGCTTTCGGCCTCAGTTTGGAGCAGGAGAACCATGTGGGGAAATGCTGAAACCCAGAGGGAAAACAAGAGTGGAAGGAGAGGAGGGAGCACTTTGGGGCTGGGGGGGAGGTGGCAAAGATAGCCTGAAAAGATGGTTAAGTGTGTCAGCCCATCAGAACTGTGGGGCCTGATGAATAAACAATGCTAACTCTCCACACCCCCCACCCCTGTGAAAGGAAATGGGAAGCAATAGGAGTGCCGGCCAAAGGTGGGTTGCTGGTCAGATTCCATCCCAGAGGAGGGAAAAAGTGAAACCTAGAACCAAGAAGGAAACCGCTGCATCAGCTGCAGACTGAAGAATCCAGAGGCAAGGAGGCAGGGGCTATTGAACTTTTTAGAAATGCTTTGATTTTTTTTTTTCCTAAGTTAAAAGTAGGATGGGGGTAGCCTGGCTTGGAGGAGGTGGGGGGACAATTTGTTACCTTTGCATTTGTGACACTGCCTTGCACTCAAAGAAGACAAAGCTATCCTCTACCATCCTGAAAAGAGGGAGGAAATCAAAGGATTTACCCCTCCCATTAGAAAGAACTAATTTTCTCCTTGAATTATGAAAGTAATGGCTTAGGTAACAGCCTGTACTCTGTACCCGACCGCTTAATACCAAATAAATCCTTCCACGTGGCTCCCCGAGTCGTGGCAATTAGAGCTCATTATAGGCTCATAAGAGCTCTCATTTTGGGGATTACTTAATGGACGATGAAATTTTATCGGACAGAATCACTGAGAAATAAAATTGTGCAGCCGCACAAGCAATGTGGGCACACGCCAATGGTCTACCAGGTCCCTCTCAGCAGGCTGAGCACAGGGTACCCCTCTGCTCTGAGCAGCTTGGGGTTGTGCTCCCTAGGGAATGGTCAACCTGGATAGGGCCAGTGGCAGTGTTGTCCAGGGCCATGAAGTAGTAGACTCACTTTGGTGGGGGCAGTTAGGGCTGGCTTCTGAAGATTGGGTTAGATTCAAGGAAGGAAGGAAGAGAAAGGTAAGAACTATAGGAAAGAGGGTAGGGACTATGTAAGAGACACAACTCCAAAATACTTGCTCTTGGTAGGCCCAAGCAGTTAACCCTATGAGCAAGTTTCGCAGACAGTCATGATCAGCCCAGTTGTTCTGGAAACAGCTACAACCCTTGCAGCCTCTCTGGAAAAAAAAAAGGCACCCCACTTCTGGGGCCTTCACTTTTCTCAACATTTCTTGGCACTAGAAACTAAACATTTGCATAGACATAAATTGAAGGAGATATACATGATTAAGATTCTAAGAGTCTGTACACAAGCACAATTTGTAGCACATTAGCAGAGGAACATACTCAAAACCTGTGGAAATACTGTAACACAAGTGTCACCCTCAAATAAACTGGATAGCCTACCCAACCCACAGAAAGAAAGGAAGCAAGCTATTACTCTAAAAAAAGAAATCGATGGAGGGGAAGATCTATTCATTATCTGAACAATTTAGGCCTTTTAAAAAATACCTTGCTATAAAGTGTCAGTTAGCGAACTCCTAATCTTTTTCCAGGCATGGGAAGGGTTCCCAGGATTGTCTGGATGGTCCTATCCCAAGGAAGCCCGGGGTACCCTGGGCTGGGTGGGCTGGGGTGAGACTGAGCCTCTGAAGGCTGCATCAGCCAACCTTGTGGTACAAAAGTAGTTACAGCTGAGCTGCCCCACATTAAGCCCTGAGACTCCCTAATTGTTGTCACAAGATGTTGGATTAGCACATTTCTGGAATAGCTGTCTGTTTACACTCTGGAGACCCACCGTCCACTAACCGTTTTCTAATTGAATTCTAATCACATTCAAATAGCTCAATAACCAGCCTCAGCTGCAATTCATAAAACTTTAATTGCCATCCATAAATCCTGGGCTCCCCAGAGCGGGGCGTCCCTACAACCCAATTACACTTCTCCAGCAGACAAGAGAGACGCAGAGATAGGAAGGGAAAGACGGAGAGAAGATGAAGAGACAGAAGCAGGCTCCAGCCAGAGCTATATTCCTGTTTTGGGACACTTTGTTCCCTCAAGTGATCCAAGTTTTTAGCACCTTCCTGAATACAGGCCTGAGAGTAGCCATTCTGGGAGCAGCACCCCACTTGGAGCTGTTGCCCAGCCTCAGTTTTCTCCAGAAGTAGAGGAGAAGAGACAGCTGTCACCTCTGTTGCATCTTTCCTAAAGACCCAGAGCCCCAGCCATGCCAGCCACACTTCGCTCTCTCTAGCTGGGGGCACATAACTCTTCCACAGGCATTGCCAAGACAGATTTCCTTTACCACTTCTTCCAACCAGAGGCAGGATTCAGTGAGTGACTGCCTGCATCCATCCCTTCCCTTTTCTAGGGTTTGGGGGTGCAGTAGGACAGTGTTCCCTGGTTACCCTTGTCAGCTGCTCAGGTTCTTTGCAAATGAACCATCACTAGACTTGAGCAAAGGCTTCCCCCAACCCACAACCAGCAACCTTCAACTAGCAACCTGCAACCGGAAGGCAGTGTTTGGTCCTCAGATCCTCTGGTCCTCTTTCCAAATATTGAAAACAGTTCTCTTTCAGTCTCTGTCTCTGTTCTCTCTCTCTCTCTCTCTCTCTCTCTCTCTCTCTCCCTCTCTCTCTCTCTCTCCCTCCCTTCCTCCCCACTTCCTCTCTCCCTCCCAATGGGAGCTACCTATTACAGAGTTGCCTATTATAACGGTCCTCAAGCACTGTAACTCTTTTTACACTTAAAATGAAACTTTTGGTGGCTTCTAGGGCAAAAGCCTCACTGTGACTTGCTGAGTCCATCTTGAAGGAACCACCTGCATGGCGTTGGCCAAGTCCAAAAGCTGGGAGACGAGAATAGCTGTGACCCTGGCCTTTGCCGCTTTCACGGCTAGAGCGCGGCCAGTCCACCGGCCGCACACCCTGCTCCAGAGCGCGGCCTCATAATTCATTGCACCACCACCACCCCTGGCACAGAGGCTCCAGGAGCACTTTGCGCCCCACCTGGTGCGCCTGTGGCAGGGCGCGGGACGAGCTGCGCCCGGGCCTAGCCTAGGGACGAGGTAGATACTGGGGCTGAGCTGTGATTTCTCGGGAAAGCATGGAGAAAGGGGTGGGGGCGGCCTCCCCGGGATATTAACAAAACCTACACTTCGCAAAGTCCCCTCCCCCTCCCCCGCGCTCTTCCCTGCCGCGCGCCCGCCCTCCTCGCCGCTCGGTGGAGACGCGGGCAGCCTATCCCGAGTGTGGGGAGCTGCGGAGCAGCCGGAGCGGAGCTCGATTCCGCAGCATCACGTGCTGGAGTGGGGGCTATAAAATCCCCGAGCCGGGGCGCCGGGCGGGGGACGTGAGGACCAGCCCTCTCCCGGGACCCCTTTGTTCGTCGCCCAGACGCCGACACCTCCGCGTCCCTAAGGGGTTGACGGCCCACTCCCGCGCAGCTCCCAGGAACGAGGTCGAGACATAGAGGGGCGCCGGGGCCCTGGTCCCGCGGACATGTCGCGCTCCTTCTATGTCGACTCGCTCATCATCAAGGACTCCTCCCGGCCCACGCCCGCGCTGCCTGAGCCGCACCCGGGGCCGGATTTCTTCATCCCGCTGGGCATGCCATCCCCCTTGGTGATGTCGATGTCTGGGCCCGGCTGCCCGTCCCGCAAAAGCGGCGCTTTCTGCGTATGCCCGCTCTGCGTCACTTCGCACCTGCACTCCTCTCGCGCGCCCGCCGGTGCCGGGGGCGGAAGCGCAGGTGCCGGGGGCGCAGGGGTCGCTGGCGGCGGGGCGACGGGGGGTACCGGGACCTTGCCTCTGCTCAAGAGCCAGTTCTCTTCCGGCCCTAGCGACGCACAATTTTGCCCGCGGGTGAGCCACGCGCACCATCACCATCATCAGCCCCAGCAGCCCGGATCGGCGGCGGCGGCGGCAGCGGCTGCGGCTGCCTTGGGGCACCCCCAGCACCACGCACCTGTCTGTGCCGCCACCACCTACAACGTGGCGGATCCGCGGAGATTCCATTGCCTCACCATGGGTAGGGCGGCTTACCCGGGCACCCGTGCGCTTCTCCTTTCCCCACTTAGGGGCAAACTTTCCACCCCCAGGGGAGGAAGTGGGAGCACAGGGGAGGGCTGGGGAAGAAGGGAGGGAGGAGGGGCTTTTAGTGTAGCTGTCGAATCCTCCCCCAGAAGTTCCCTAAGGTGGAAGATAGCTCGCCAACCTGTGCACGCATCCGGGTGCACTTCGCGGTGCTGTTGCGCGTCTGCCCCACACAGTCGGTGCCTTGAAGACCGCAAGTGGGACTGTGGAGTAAATTTAGGTCAACTGCCTCAGGTTTGGGGAGCGTGGGTCTGAACCAAAGTGTGACATCCAGCGCCTGAGCTGACTAAAGCGTTGCAATGCTTTGGGCTGAGGCTGCAAGCCCCTCGGTTGGGCTTGAAGGGAGCAGATGGGACGAGTGCAAGCGCACAGGCCACTTTAACCGTCAGACTTCGAGATCTGGGCCTCTAGGGCCGGAACTTGCTTTGGTTCATCTTCCCTTCCTTGATTGGCGGTGACCTTGCCACGAGGTGGGAAAAAGTGAGGATAAATACGGCATTAGGTTGGGCGTGGACTTTGAGATGGGTCCTTTGCATGGAATGGTAGCGGGCTGGGTGCTGAGTGCCCCGCCCGAGCACTCATCTCTCTACCTCTCTCGTCCATCTCTCTGTCTTTGTCTCTGTGTCTCTGTCCCTCCCTCTGCCTCTCTCTCTCTCTCTCTCTCTCTCTCTCTCTCTCTCTCTCTCTGTCCGCAGGAGGTTCCGATGCCGCCCAGGTATCCAATGGCAAGAGAATGAGAACAGCGTTCACTAGCACACAGCTCCTGGAGCTGGAGCGGGAATTCTCTTCCAACATGTACCTGTCTCGCCTTCGGAGGATCGAAATCGCTACCTACCTGAACCTGTCGGAGAAGCAGGTGAAAATCTGGTTTCAGAACCGCCGCGTGAAGCACAAGAAGGAGGGGAAGGGCACGCAGAGAACCGGCCACGCGGGTTGCAAATGCATCGGCAGCCAAGCGCACTACGCACGCTCGGAGGACGAGGACTCCTTGTCGCCAGCATCCGCGAACGATGACAAGGAGATTTCCCCCTTATGACGGGCCCGCACCCACTCGTCTGCTTCGGTAGTCCCCACTCCCACTCCATCACGCAGCGTGGGGCATCTAGGGGCCAAAAGTCCCTTGGCCTCCATCTCGTACCTACAGAAGGAACTGGGCGAGCTTCCCGGGAAATTCAGAGCTGGGCCTAATCCTTCACCTCTCCTTCTTGACCTTTTTATGTGGAGTTCCATCCAGAGTTATAGATAGTTTTTTTTAAAAAAATGTAAATAATCTAGAATCCACCTCAGTCTTATGTAACAGGAAAAACAGGGTTGTTTTAAGTTTAACACTGTACGGGGTTTTTGATAGCGCATGTCATTTCTCCACCCGTTTTTCAGAACGTGATGACAGCATGGAGTTTCTTCATTTTTAGATGTTGTTATTTTGAAGTGAGATCACTGAAGTTGCAAGCAATTTAGAAAATTAAATCCTGTAGGTCTTGAATTCTGAAAATCTGTGTAGGGAGAATGTTAAATCCAAGTCGCTGGAAGTCCCTTTGTATGTGAATAGTTTTATATAAAATTTATATTTATATTTATTTAAATAAATAAAATGAAAATCAGGATTTTAAATTTGTGTTTGCTTTCCCTCCTCGAACACATAGAGAAAGACATTTGTGGGAGAAAAGAACCCATGGCCTTAGGAGAAAATGTGAACTGCAACTTGGGGATGTGGGTTTCTTGGGTGAGGGAGCGTGGCTTCAGAGGGTTTTCTGTGTGACCGAAATTTCTGTCAGGAAGACACCGTTAGTACTGATGCCCCTCCTAGGTGCACCTGACCCTCAAGACAGGTGAATTCTCCAGTTAAATCGACACAAGGATGACCAGCAAACATTTTTTTTTTTTTTTAGCAAGAAAGGTGAAAAAAAATGCCTTACTTGCTATTTGTTTTCTTCTCTCTCATTTCTCTTAGTGCTAAAACCTAAGTTCTGTGATGGAATTTACATCATTGCAATGGGTTTTGGCATAGCAGCGACCCACACAATAAGTCCCAAGCAAACAGGCAGAAACACACAGGTGATATCACAGCTGACTAGAAAGGTTAATGTTCCTGGTTTACCCTTGAAACTGAGGCAGAGAAAACTATTCTGTCTAAAGAGCTACAATTTCACATTTCTAAAACAGCACAGAGATCCACTGAACTCTTGGGGTTTGTTTATTGATACCCTCAGTCCCTCACCTCCCATAGGGTGAGGAGCACTTAGTTCTTCCTCCAGCACCCTGGGCCCAGCTGCCTGGCCTAGGTTCAAAGAAGAGGAGTGACCAAGATGGAAAGTGAGGAGATTTGAGTCCCACCAACACCCATGGGTGGGTGAGATTTCTGATTACTTTCCATAAAGATGTCACCCAGGTAGTATTGCCACTCAGTTGCACTGTCTGCAACAATTCTTTTGGTTTGATTTACTTTAGGTCCTAACTGAAACTTCACAAGGAGACTCTGGCTCTAAAACTGGAAACTTATAGAGGAGAAAGGAAGGAGAATATGACCATGGGTTCCCCTAAGTCTTGCCTCCCCTACACCAGAGAGAGAGAGAGGGGGAGAGGGAGAGAGAGATCCTGTTTCCAGACTCTTACTTGAGCACAGCCAGGACCGGAAGGAGAGAGGAAAACCTCCCAGAATCCTGGTAAACCCAGGGCTGCCTGCACTTTGGGCAGTAAGCCAAGCTACTCCAGTGCAGTGCCCCTGGGTTCTCTCCTGCCAGAGCCTGGGGGAACTTTCACCTTTCACCTCTGGATCTTGGTCTGAAGGCAGGCAGTTTGCTTTGAAGAGCAGAGTGAGGCCCAGGTGCGCTGCCTTTGCTAAAGATCTTGTCTCTTTGCTCCCAGAGAAGCAGGCCTCTCTGGAGCAAGAACAGAGGTGGGAGAAAGGGAATTTGCAGGCACAAAGAACAGTCATTTAAAGAATAATTCCTTCTTAGGAAAACCCAAGAAGGACAAAGAGCCTCCTCTGCTGCTGCAGCTCTCTGCAATCCAGCCCAAGGCAAAGCTCAGTCTGGACTGTGGGCACCAGACCACTCTGCCCCCTTCCTTCACCCACCCACCCACCCACCCACCCCAGACCCTTCACCACCTTGTGCTCCAGACTGACCTTTCTTAACTGCAGGACAAGTCTGCACCCAGGCCTTGAGCCCTGACCATGGAGCAATGCACTTGTCATGACAGGTGCTAGACGCACACCTTGCTCTGCCACCCCATGAAAGAGACATATGCACCATCCCTCCTTGGGCTGCTGTTGGCCTGCTAACATGGTCTTGTCCCTGTAGGAACAATAAACAATATAGTCCTCTCCAGGACGCAAAATCATCAAGCTAAGATACCTATTTATATGACTAGAATGTTCTCCAAATAGTTTCTCTAAGGTTCCCAGGGACATCCTCCTTTTCTTCAGAGTGCCCTTTTCGACACTGTTGGAGTGGAGGACGTGTTTCTTACTCTATTAGGATAGATTTTTGCATTTTTTCTGACCCCTCCCTAAAAGAAAATCAGAAATCTGAAGTTTGATTGTAAAGGCTTGTTTTAGTTTCACACTAGTTTAAGAATGCTTAAATCGGGCTGGGGAGATGGCTCAGTGGAACAAGCATTTTCCTGGTAAGCGCAAGTGCCTGAGTTCAATCTCCGGTTCCACGGGAAAAAAAAAAAAAAAAAGAATGCTTAAATCAACAGATGTATAAACTCAGAGATAATCTAAGTAAAGAATATACTCAGATTATTATACTCAAAAAATAATAAATAATCTGTTCTATAAGCCATAGGTAAGCTCTCCAAGTGGTGTTTCTCCCTAGATCTACTAGAGGATATATATATAGTCACCAGCACAGCTACCTGGAAAGCCCTAGGTTCTAGCTTCCCATAAGCCCCACTTGAAAAGCAGAAACAGAACACTCTTCACACAAAATATGACCTTTTAGAGGCCCAAAGCACATAATGGAAGAGAAAAAAGGATCAAAAGTGCTAATTAGAACACAAGAAGTTGTTGCACCAAGAGAAAAGGGGTGAGCTGCAGGGCATTAGTACAATGAGGTCCCATCTGAGAACATGTCCCATGGGCACTTTAAACAGGGAAAAAGCTGGGGGTAGTGTAGAAGGCAGAAAGCAGGACCTCTCACTTCTGGGCCCTGGCCCAGCCAGCTCTTCAGAGTAGAGAGAGGAGCAAAGACCTTTCCTCTCCACCCTCCCACTCAGGGAACAACATGTGTCCAAGTCTAAGGGATGGTGGCCCCAGAGAAGGTTTCTTAATCTTAAATGATGGTAAAGACAGAAAGAGCCCAGTGACCTGCTTTGGGGGAGTCAGTGATTCCAGAGAATGAATAGCTCATAGATTTTTCCTTTCTGGGCTCTTATTCTGAACTGGGTTGAGTGGTTATCACAATTCAGCCCGGTCCCCCAGCCCCATCTAATGCTAGGAAGGTGCTGTTCTACTAAAAATGGGGGTGGGCAGAAGGACTGCGTGTGTACCTGTGAGTAGTATAGATGTGCAGGTGTGTAGATGAATTTGGGGGCTGGAGAGGAGGTAAGAACAAATCCACTGGTGGTGGTCATATAGGAGGTAAAAGTAATTTTCACTGGGTTTTCCTTTTCACTGCCTACTTACAGCTTTCTTATAGGTTTCAGTCACCTTTTAGGGTACTTCTTGAGAGCTCTTGATACAGGAGGAAAGGCTTTTGTAGCTGGGACAAGGAGAACCAGATGAGCATCCGGGGAGAGAGGAGGGAGGGAGCTCAGGCCCGGCCTAAGACAGAGAAGGGAAAGCTAGGCTTCCAATGGGAACTATTTGCTAGAAGAAATTGGTTTAAAGGAGCAATCACTCCCTGAAAAGGAGCTCCTCCCATCCTCTCCAAACACAGCCAAAGCTGTCCTAGACGATGAATGCAGCGCAGTGCATCAAAGCAATTGTTCTATCTTCATTATTCGCTGGAATCTTTGAATGTACCTGTTAAGGTGACAGACCTTTTAAAAGGGAACATTTTTCCATGCAATTAATTGGTACATTTACTAGGCTTCTATTAACATAATTTAATATAAATCTATTTTATAAATCTTTAGGCTTACATTACTGAAAATTGAGCTTCTCTTAAAAAAAATGCCCACGGCACTTCCCTAAATTAGATGGAATGGAATCTAAAAAATGTGCTATTCTAAGACAGCTGGAAATATAAAAAGTCGAGGCATCTTTTGTATTGTCTTTTGTTAGTGGTGGAGGTATGAAAAAAAGAGGCAGTGTGTGTCATGTAGTGCTCCCCCACCCAAAGCTTGGGCACTTGGAGCCCACAACAAGGCCAAAGAAGAAGCAAAAACTTAGATCTCTTAGGAACATCAGAGCTCAGATGAAAACACAAAAACCCAAACCCAAAAACTAGAGAACAACAATCAAGCTTCCAAAGAAATTTGAAAGCAAGTTTCTTCTATCTGGGGAAAGAAAATCCAAACCTGTGAAACCTCACAGTCCTCAATGGTACTCGACAGGAAGAAAACAGACACTCTTATCTCTTCCCAGAGCCAGACTCCTTAAGCTCAAGTGTATCCTTCAAAATTCTGGGCATCCCATTGTCTCTGAAAAGGTTTTGTGCTCCCTTAATATACTGAGGGCAGGGATTGCCCTTCTCCATTGGGCATTGCCTTTCTTCCAGCTGAGCCTTCTGTTTCCCTCAACCCTGTAGTACCTTTGTTGAGCCTTCCAAATCCTGAACCCAGGAAGGCCCCAGGGGCTCCTCTGAGTGAATCCTGGCAAATCGGAAGTGTGTGCTGTGTGCTTAGGAAAGTAACTAGTTTCAGATTAATGAAACAGTGACAATTTCAATCTGCTTAAAGGCGGAGGCTGGCACTGCCCAGGCCTGAGCATGGGGAGCTCGCCAGGCTGGGCTTTATATTGTCCCCTTTTCTGAAGAGCAGACAAAGATGGATAGAGAGACATTGAAAAGCAGGGGGAGTATTTAAAACAGCCCCATAAAGCGAGCTGTCACTTTAAGACAAGAACCATAGTGCTTTGATGACTTTGTATTAGCTGCACCATTTCAAATAGGGGACTCAACTCTAGTGAGAGGGAGAAAAAGGAGAGGGGGGAGAGGAGAATGAAAGAGAGGGGGAGAGAGAGAGGGAGAGAGGAGAGGACTGAGAGGAAGCAGCACTTAGCC